GCTAGCGCAGTTCTGCTGAGCAGTGCACACCTGGAAGGAGTGTATTTTTGGTGTCCCCCATGTTAGTCCTCATTCCCTACACTGTATAATCACACGCTTCTATTTCAAAGCAATGACTCACTCTGGTTTTTCACATCTGGAATGTTTACCTCGAACATTCCTCTCTTTACGTTGATGTCCTTAATGATATTTAGGAATTCCCTTATTCTCTTGTCACGTCAGACTTAATTTCCCGGCTGTGGGTGAATGCTGTATGGCTATTTGCTGTAATACAGCTCTGAAATCAGCAGCTTTGCACTTTGTCGGAAGGTCGTCGAAGATGATATCCTCAATGAGATCTGTAGGTAGGGTTCCTGTTGTCCACGCAGAAAGGAATTTGATTAATGTGTAATTTCAGCTCTTATGTATTATTATAACTTAACTGAAGAGTGCAGTCGAATAATCTATTTGTCATGGGACCTTATTTGCACAAATCCTCTTAAACCGTGTCTTCTGCACTGAGGGAAGCAGGACGTTTGTTCTCTTTGAGAGCTGACAGTGGAACTTGCTTTTAAGAGTTGAGATTTCAACAACACTGAAGTCTGATTTTAATATTTGAGTTTTAAGGTTCTTGCGTGACTGTTTGCAGGCAAAATCAGCAGCCCTTGTTTTCTTCAGAAAGATTCTGTGGATCGATTCAATCACTTGAATCTGAAATTAGACCGAATTTGAACCCTCTTTAAAAGGGCAGGCTTGAAAAATCGTGTTGAAATTGAAAGTGGAAAGAACAGTTCACCAGGTCTGCCTGCTTGGATCGCAGTGGATGGGAGCAGCTCTGTGTGCTCCGGGGTAACGCTTTCCCTGCAGCCTTTCAAAGTGCAACAATAGAACAGGACAAATCTGTGCCATTCCAGGATAAAGGGCAGCAAAAGGAGTCCTGCCAGCTCCGTGAATGCAATTGATTTGCCTTTCAATTCTGCAAGCAAATCTGTGTTTGTGGAGAACGGGAAGCAGCGCAACGTTCAGGATCTAAATGTGAGCTGTTGACATGAAGTTTGTTTTTTCGGAGACGGATTTTGTCAGTGGAATATTTCATGTCTGGTTTTGATATTACAAACGTCTTCTCTTCCTCCTCAATTTGTTCTTAATTAAATTTTGTTACAATTTAGTGTTTTCTGCGGGTTGCTTTGTCTGCTGCCTGACTTCTGACCTTTAAGAAAGAGAGGATTACTTTCTCAGGAGCATTGTTTTCATTCTTTTTTTCCTTCATTATTTCTGCTTTTCCCCCCTGTGAAAGATTCTCAAACCCCTGAACATTTTGTACATTGACTGCCCAAAAGTGTGGGAATGTGTGGTCATTTCAGACATCGCTGCTGACAACTTTTCTGTTCGTACCACATCTTTACCATCTTTCCCATTGTTTTTTTTTTTCCTTAGATGAGCAACAAAAAGATTTATTCTGTGGCGCACAAAAACTGTCCTGGGACTTTGTGGCGAGGTGTCTTTTAGTTCTGTATGAACTTCTGTAAATGTGTCCTCATAAGTGGAGCAGTAGCTGTAGTGATGCACCTGCTGCTTTTCATGCTGACTTGCTGAATTTTGCCAGTGTGTGCATGCTGTCCTCCTTTCTTTTGCTGGATGAAGTCTTATAAAGCTTGATTTGGGAGGTGAGGTTCTCCAAGAAAGCAAGCTCTGCACTCTTAGCATTTCAAAACAAGCACATCCTTTTGTTCTGAACGTTACCAGCAGCCATCCCTTGTCCTGGAGAAAAGACCTTCAAAGCCCCTCTCAGGCGATCTCAGTCCTTGCCTTCACTGCTCTGAGTGCATCTCTCCTCCAAAATGCCGTTGTCTTTTTGCCAAAGTGCTGAATTACACTGCTGGATGTGGCTAAATGTTTCAATCAGGGCTGTGATGTGGCTCAGGGAAGCCGTGCTGCTTGCAAATTACGGCACTTCGTGCCGCTTTTGACGAGCAAGCGTTCTGAGAGCTCACATCTCCTCTCACCGAAGCACTGCTGTCCTTCCCAATAAGGGCTTCCCCAAGTTAAAGGTCTCACGTGCAGCATCTCACTTTATTCCTGCCTTTCATACTTCTTTACTGGCGTTTGACATACGCAGTGCGAGCCGCTGGGCTGAGAGCTCTCCTGCATGTGATCCCTTATGGAAGAGAGCAGCGAGGCAGCACGCTTACTTTCTCTGGTATTGCTTGCACATGTTCTCGAGTCGTATCTCTCTGCTAGGGGTAAATCATATTTATATGTCCATGTGCACTTCAGAAACACCCCGCTGTCACTTGCATTTAGTCCTTGTTCAGCCATCAGCAGGCAGCTCTGGGGCAGTTGCTAAAGACCTGTTGTTAGGGTAACACTTAGAGCTGGAGTACCAAGGAGATGGATTTGTACATCTGTAATTCATGTAACCTTGATGTCAGCTGTACTGGTGCTTAAGGGCTGATTTGCTATGCCCAATTTGCAGGTGCAGTCACTGTGGCTGAGCACACGGTTGTGTGCATGCAATGGCTGTGTCACCTGCACCAGTTTTATGCCTTTGGGTGGCTAGGTTGGAATTCTGTGGATAAGGGAAGAGAAATACACCCGGCTGTGACAGTCTCTCCAGTCCCAAATCTGCTTTTCTCACTATACCCTCAGCTTGTCTTCTGTCTTCCCTGCTTTCCTCTGTTGTCGTGTTCTCTCCATGAAGGCAGTGGTCCCTCTATCCAATTTTTTGTGACCATTTCTTGTCACTTTAATTAACTTTTGCAGTCAGTAAGCCAAATGTTTCTTGTCTTCTGTCCACAGAGCAGCTTCTGGAATGCTTTATGTCTCACCTCTGCCCATCATCTTTCTTAAGCTCTCCTAATGCAAACAGCTCACTGAGGCTCTTGTCATAAACGATTTTGCTTTTGATTTCTGTTGAAACAAAGAGACGTCCTGGAATGTACCATACTGACACCATAAGAGTTAAAATGTCTGGCTGGACTGCTGTACTGTGAGTTTTCTCAGACCTGCAGTCATTTCTCTAACAGCAGCGCACGAGATGATAGTCATTAAAATGTCTTGATGAACAAAATACAGACTTTTGTTCAAAATAATCACAGCACACGGCCGTGTTATGTAGGACAACACAACTACTCTGTGTGTACTGACAGCTGAGGTCATACCAAGAGTTAAAACACAACTATTTTTATTGGATGTTACTGCAAAGATTTATAAACCCATTTCTCCGTATAGCGCATATTGGTAATAGATTGCACTCCAAAGTGTGGTCTCGCTATTTACAGTACAGTATGTGCTTTCCTTTTGCTGACACCCATGGAAAGGAAACTGTTGCACAGCAGCAGATGATAATTTCGATCGGTTTTCCTCCTTCCCTACTCCCACCCTCGTTTTGGAGACACAGAGAGGGGCTGTAAAGCAATTTTGAATAACATGGCCCTGTCACTCGCTGGTCATCAGTCCTCAGCCTTTTAGAGCGCTTTGGAACCAAATTCTTGATGCCAGTGCTTTCCTCCTGTGTGTTCGAGTGGCTTTTTGAACAAATCTGTACTAAAGTAATCAGAAAACAAAAGGAAAATGATGATGTCTGAAGGGATACGACGTTCCCCTTGAGCACGTTAGATCAGTGCCCGTGAATTTCAGATTCTGAGGGCTCTGTTATAATGCAAAGGAAAGCACAGAGCTCTTAGCCTGGCATTTTGCTGCTGTCACCTTCATTTCTCTTGCAGGAATAGACATGCACTGTTCAAAGGGCTGTACAGCAGCTTGAGTGTAATCACTTATGTACCTCAGGATCCTCTTGGGCTGTAAATTTGTAAACACAGTAGGTTGAAAAGATGGTTTTATTGTGCTGGGCATGGCAAGCAATTAATACAAAAAGAATACAAGAATTTTAAGAGCTCCTTCAAGCACAGCCACGTTGACCGAAACCAAATACTGCAGCTTTGGGTTGGCTTTTAACTATTGCAGATCTAAATCTGAGAAGTTTAGAAGTACTGAAATTGCAATGATTGGTGAATGCTCGGATGGTTCTGGTTTACATCACAGTTTGGAAATGTTGGCTTCACTTCTTTGCTTTTTGAAGTGCTTTTTTCTGCAGTTCTGGGTTATAAATTTCCCTTAGCATCCAGTTGGACACCCCCAGTTCAGAGTGCTTTAGCAAACCTCTGTAAGGTTACAGCAAAATGGTGTGAGAAGTGCCTTGAAAAAGCTACCATGTATGACAGGTTTCCTTCTCAATTTTTAATCTATTTGTCCAGATGTTGAAATGAGTATTTTTTGGAGCCTGACAAGTATTTTTGCACTGCTTCTTGTACAATTAGGCTTCCACTTCGATGGCAGAGTTTGCAGATGCTAACGAATGTGGTTTGTGTTGGCAGTGGGGCTCCATCTGTATCAGCTTTGTTTCAAAACGGTCCAACTCACAAGTCGTCAACATGGTGTTTTTATAAGAGTTTGGCAACTTTGCACCAGATGCTGGGAAGTGCAGAATGTGGCTCTTTAAATGACTCCATAATAGTAGCAACGCTTTCAGATTTGAATTCTGTGCTGTGTTTTTATTGGATTCTATTGAATCCCGCGTTGAGTTTTAAGAGGTTGTTTTACATGCAGCTTTATGCGACCCCATGCTTATCATGCACACGTTGTGAGCACTATCAGCAATAAATAAAGCTTTCTCCAGTTTGGGCTTAGGAGAGCTGGATCCTTCTGTTGCCATATTGCTTGTCTTCGATGCAGTTTCCATGGGTGGAAGCGTACATTTGGAAACTTCATGGTAGCGATGCTTCTAAAAACACAACTGTGCACACTTAATTTTGTGAATATTGTTGAAGCTGCTGCTGAAATCATCCCGCTGTACAGCTTTGGTGTGTTTCTAACTCTCACTGTTTTTCTTTAGGCTGTTCTGAGTCGTTCAGCTCCTTGTTTGCCCGGTGTGTGCGTGGCAGCATCCATCAGCGCTGTGTGTTCCTGAAAACAGGGATTTGAGCTGGGTGCCATCCCTCTGTGTTTCTCTGTAATTACAGGTCATCTCTTTTATAAATTTGGGATCTCAGAATCTGACTGGTATCGAATCAAGCAGAGCATAGACTCCAAGTGCCGAACAGCCTGGAGGCGGAAGCAGCGGGGGCAGAGTCTGGCTGTGAAAAGCTTCTCCAGGAGAACGCCTTCGTCGTCATCTTACAGTGGTTCAGGTAAAGAACCACTTTTTTTTTTTTTAATCTTTGTATCTGCAATTGTCTTTCAATATACCTTGCACAGGTGTGGTGGCAATGCTAAGTCACAGCTTGAAGCAGTGATTGAGCACCTGGTGAGAAAGCAGGGCCAGCCTAGGGGAGCTCAGGTGTGTGCAATGAACCTGAGTGATGGAAGGGATGGAGCCAGGATCCACCCCTTCCCAGCCCTCATTTAAGGGTTGGCAGTGGAGGTGAGGGTATTTTGCTGGTAGCTCCTCTGTACCTGAGGCCTTCTGAAGGTAAGCAGCTTCTTTTGTTCCTGTGTCTATGGCTGTTGCATTTGAGCAAGCCCTCACTTGCTGTAGCCTAGGGCTCTGCTTCTTTGCTGTTGCTGCTGCATGTTCCATCGCATTGCAGATTTTTTTTCTTAAGGTATAGCTGTGACTGGTGCACACTGTACCTGCAAATTTGATTTTTTTTAATAAGAAATATAAATTGAGATAATCTTCCTCTCTGTTTTTTTTTAAGTGGATTTTGTATTATTATTTTTTAAGTACTGTTTATCTTTGGCAAGGAGAGCTCTCCGATACTCATTACACTACCAGCATATTTCTGCAGTGCTCCTCGAGGAGTGACTGCAGTGTTCGTTTAGTAATTGGAGGCAGCCACTCATAGTTCAATCATTGTAGATTCAATGCAATCCAGCCACCTTCTGGTGTATGTAGAGCCTTTGGTGGCCTCCTGGGGCTCATACTGTAGTCAGTCTCAGGTAGCAAGAACATCTATTGCTTCTACAAACTGTGGCTGTAAAACCACTGATTGGAACGTACTGCTGACCCAAGAAAGGAAACGAGAGGTGTGTTTGTACACCAGAAGGAGAGGGAGAAGGGAAACTGTCTCTAAAGAAGTTGTAAAATATGGACTTGTCAGGAAAGAAAGCGTAGCACCTCCCATTCCATGAGAGAGTTGCCTTTGGTGATTTGTGTGTTCTCTGAACTTTACTGGTATGGTTGGGAACGTCCATCCTGTGTGCTAACTGAACCAGTTCACGGTGTGCAGCATCACACGGGTAACTTGCTGTGATGGACTGTAAGTAAAGGCATTTCATCTGCAACTGACGTTCATGAGTGGAGTCAAATGAATAAACCTTCCTCCGTGTGTTCACACCATTTAGTGGGACGTGCTAAATTTTGCTTATAAAGTATTTTCCTCTGTAGAAATTAAATATGTTGCAGCCGATTCTGTGTTTCCACATAGGTGTGTAGGCATGAATAATAATAACAAATGAAAAATACCGAGCTAAGAAGTGTTCTCATAGGACGTTTCTGGCTCATGCTTTTAATATAAAGCAGTGTTATGGGACATTTGTACATCGTATATTAAAACCAGTGCTTTGGAAGTGAGCCCAAAGAAAAGGAAGCAAGTTTATTTGCCTGCATAAAATTTTTGGTTGCATGTTAACACTAACCACTGTATCTCATGCAAAGAAAGCCAAAATCTGCTTTCAATGGAAAATTTTATGTGCTGGAACTGGGAATCAAATCCAAAATTTTCAAATTAAAACAACTAATCAACTTAATGATAACCATAAGCTGTATATATATATGTTGATGGGATTTTTATTTTCAGTCTCCTTAGAGTAAAAATGCAGTAGTGAGGGGTTGTTACAGGCCTCTGCTCATTAGGCCATACACTTTGTCTGTCATTGAGATTTATTGTTAAAAAATATTATCTTTAATCTCCTGGTTGGGAGCTTTGGAGAGACGTATAAGCACAGATTCAGGGAGTTCTTAACTTCAGAAAGCCATAAAGTAATATGTTGTGGGTTGTTTCTTTCATTAAGCTGAAACCTCCAGGTGTTTTCTTTTAGCCCTATCCCAGTTCCACAAACACCACTCAGCGTTATCTTGTTCCTTGGGCACAAAATGCACCTGGGGTAACTCCTGGGATTTGAGCTGGTCCTCCCATCTCCTGTATTTCCCCAGTGCTCTGTGCATCCTGGGGCTCCACTGTACAGCACGTCTCAGCTCTTCTGGGTAGCAAAGAGGCGGCTGCAAGTCTGAAGTATGCTCCTAAAAATGATGGAGACCCAAAATATGGTCTGAAGTATGGTGAAGGTCAGTCGAGGCATCCTGACATGTCATTTGCAGGACTGTATATAAGCCGTGCAGCCAAAAGTAGAGAGCTGGCAATAGCATTAACATCTGCCTTTGGTAATGGTACGTGAAAATGTTCCATGGATTCTGAGTTTTTTGTTAATTTCTTTAAAATATTGCTCTTGCTAAGAATGTCACTGGCATCGTTTTCTGGGAGGCTGTAAAGATGTTGGATGAATTCACCGCTACATTCACACCCACTGTGAAAGCTGTGTTAGAAAAACAGCCCTTTTCTCAGGGCCAGGTGGTCCTCAGGGAAACTAATTGCATTCTTAAGGCAGGTGGGAGTGGGATTTCACCTGAAGGAAGAAGAGGTAGGAGGAAAAGTAGGATGGTGGGACGGATAAGGGGCTGAGTCAGAAGAAGGGAAGAATCGAAGATAGAAAGGAAGAGGATTCACATGCTGTTCAGAAAGGTAACCGTCCTTGCTGCAATGATCCTGGTCTGTTCAGGTATCTCCGTGAGCTGCTCAGGCTTTGTCTTTGTGGTTTGACATCTCTGGAAGCCCTCGATGGAATTACAGCATCATAATTCACAGGCATCTGTTCCTTGTTATATATGCTGTATAGTGGATATAGCAGAATTCCTGCTGCCAGTTAGCAGGAAAGAGAAGTAATATTTCACAGCTCTGAAGTAAAGGAGGTCTGTATTTCACAGTTATGACAACATAGCTGTCAAATATGGCTTTTTAAAGTGTTACATATGAACCCAGACAGCTTTTATGGTAGTGTTTGTTTCAAGGGGCAAGTTAAGGTGAGCCTCAAATGGTCTGGAATGCAGCTACTTGAGAACCTGTCTTTCCCACTATTGTTAGCAAGGCTGTTAGGTCAGCTTCTAGGTGTGCTCTGCAGAGGAATATCTGTGATTGGTTTCACTGTGTAATACCTGCTCCATGCCCCTTTGTATGTAATGGGCAGCTTTTTTGCATTCCTCCATGTATTGCTTAAAAAAGGATTAGGAATAACCATGGGATAACACCTTCTGATTGATAGCAAAATGGTCACCATTTCCTAAGGAAGCTTTAGGGCTCACTTTGGAGGTGTGGGGAGGCACTGGCACAGGTTGCCCAAGGAGGCTGTGGATCCCCCAGCCCTGCAGGCATTCAAGGCCAGGCTGGATGTGGCTCTGGGCAGCCTGGGCTGCTGGTTGGTGACCTGCACACAGCAGGGGGTTGGAGCTGGATCAGCACTGTGCTCCTTTTCAGCCCAGGCCATTCTGTGATTGTGATTTTATGTTCCCATAGCATTCAGAAAACACTTCTTTTTGAAGATGCTCCACTGCTATCAACAAATATTCTGAGTAGATGCATAGTGTCTGCCATGCAGCCGAGCTGTTCTCATTAAGTGTTGATTTAATTATCATAACTGTAATCATTAAGTGATGATTAAATACGATTTTGAGGACCTGAGTGTGAATGAATGAACTCCACATTCCCCAAATGAAGTCTTTTTCCGTAGCTTGGCAGTGTTTTCCTGACTACAAACTTGTAGTATATTGTAGTTCATGTTAAAGTTGGGATGAAAAGGTACAACAGAAAAAGAAAAAGACTCAAATCCAAAGCAGTTGTTTGGCTTGAAGTAATATTATTTTCATCACCTCTCTCTGGGATCTGATAATAGCAAGGTGGCTTTCTGTTATATCTTCATATAATGGTATATGTTTAAATCAACACAAAGTTATTGGCACTTGTTTCAGATGTTGTAAAGGAGCACCATTCTCCTTTGTTAAATCACAGAGTAATAGAATATCCTGAACTGGAAGGGACCCACAGAGATCCTGGAGTGCAACTCAATGTGTATCACAGTGTTTCTTGAATGTTGCTATGTGAGAAGTGTGGAATGGCTTCATCCTTTTTGGTTTGGCAGTGAAAAATTGTTGAACAGCTCAATGTGTGTCCTGGTTTCAGCTCTGTCATTGGAAATAGTATTTGTGTTGGTTCTTGACATAGTGTCAGATCAGCGTGGCTCCTGCTCTGCTGCACTCCCTCTCCTACGAATTATGGCTCTTGATTTACCAGAGGTGCTTTTTAGAAGCAATTAATTCGCTTCATTTAAAAAATAAAATAAAACACAGCAGTCTGGAACTCACCTGCCTGTGACCTGATTTGTGCTGCTCTGCTTTCGAGGGATCTTACGGGTGGTTGACCACAGCATCAGCGAGGCTGCAGGGATTCCATCTCCAGCTGGTTGCAGTCCTGAGCAAACTGCTGTGGTCAAGCCTGGTTTGAGCAGGGGGATTGGATTAGGTGATCTGCAGAGGTCTCTTCCAACCTCATCTGCTCTGTGGTTTGGTGGGTTTTATGAGCATTGAGTTATTGCACACGTAATAGATAACTTGGAAATATTTACATCCAAGAAGAATTGCTGTTCTTGAGCTTAATTCTTCTCCACTTGTTGAACGCATCCAAACTTGTAGGCTTTTTCTGCTTCTTGTGCATAGAAATCCTCATGGTGTGTGGCTTTGATTTGCATTGTGCGTGTGAAAATGATAACAGATTTCCTCTCTGTTCTGTTCACGATAAGGAAAAATTAGCAGTGGAAATGTGGCAGAGAGCACAAGGCCGAGCCCACAGTCCTTGCCTGGACCCCACAGGTTTTTGGCACTCGTTGTCGTGTACTGTTCATGTTTTAAGAGCTGAAGAGGAACTGAGCTGCAGACTAGGATCAGGAAGCTGGTAGGGAGATACCAGTGAACGCCTCTTCTCTGTCCTCCACCCCCTTGGATGCTTATAAAGATTGGTCTACATTTAATTGACTGAGCGGCTTGACAGCATCCACAAGATTTATGGCTTGCATAAAGTTGTAGCAGATTGTTAAATGGAGACAGAAGTTGTTTCCTTATTTTTTCTGGCTCTTCCATTGCCTGTTGTTGGACTTGAGGCATTAATTGCAGTGGGTTGCTCATCTTTGAGCCAATGCTCTACTCCTTAATGTGTGCTTTTGTCTCTCCCTTTTTCTGATAGAAGTTGTGCACGTGGCTGCCATGATAATTTAGAGAGATGCTCTTGTTAAATTCGTTAGCAGTCTGTGGAGGGAAGGGAGGAGGGAATGAGTTTCTTGAGAGGAGGATTAACTGCAGAGTGCCTTCTCTCCTTTTCTTTTAATTTCTCTTAAGATTGTTAAAGCTGTTATCACAGTTTTCCATATTGGAATTATTAGTTAGGCCATGACTTTGGGATTTACATGTAGATTTGGGCTCAAGTGCTCAGCTGTGCCAAGTTGTCACATGTGAAAACAGATGGCGTGGCCAAATCTTCAAAGCAGTTCTGCAAAACTGAAGCTGTTGAGCACTGGGTGAGTCAGGTTGAGATAATGGTTTACAAGATAGAGTTGTAGTCCTGGGTAATGGTGTATTTTTGCCCCCCCCTTCTTTCTTGTTTTTAAAGAGGGCTTTTCTTCATCTGCCCATTAACCTTTCCTTGCTAGAACTACATATCAAGGAGATGAGAAAACGCATCCTAGGCTGTAAGCAGAAATGTGGAGCCTACAGGGAAGCAAAGCACTTTGGAATGGCAGCATACAAGTGAGGGGACTTAGCTGAAATCCCATCGACTGCAGAATCCAAACCTCCTCCATTTCCTTCCAAAATGAGAACGCATGCTCAACTGATAAATACAAAGTCCAGGGAGAATAGGAAGAAAGAAATGCTGAAGGGAAGAAGGAGTACTTCAATTTCTTTTTTTCCTCCTGTATCACAGCATAAGCAGCTGTGGAATGGTCAGGGCAGCAGTGCTGTTCTCTGGGTGGCTCCAAGCTCATCTCCATGAGGGTGCTTTGGGATTGCCATAGGAACGTGCTCAGTAGCAGTGCTGTGTGCTGCTCAGCTGATGTCCAAGCGTTGCACAGCACGAGTTCAGCTGTATGGCTTCTCTGTGCCAGGGATTCTCTAACATATCAAAGTTGTACATGCAAAGCCAGATAGTTTACATGATGGTGATTTATAACTGTTGACACATCCTCTATTCAAGCTGTGTGCTATTCATGTTTGTGTTTGTTTTTAATGGGGGATGTTTAAAATGGATAAATATTGCTTTTGTCTGGTCAGATATTTGGAGAGAAGTGGTGATTATAAAGGCTGTTTTGTTATTAGACACATTTCAATCCTCTTCTTTATTCTCAAAGAGGAAAAAAGGGGAAAGAAATCACAAAACAAATAAAATTGAGCCAACTGTGGTTGTTGTAGTGAAGTCAACATGAAAACTATTCATGGGCCGTGGAAGACATATGCAGCAGGATGGCATTCAGTCCTTATCTTCTGTTCTCTTCTGAACAGCTTAACTTCTGGCATCTGTGAGCAAAAGATGGTTTATAAAGTTGAAAATGACTTTTTCCATATAATATATTGGTACTTGACACTTGTGTGTGTACAGTGTGTAGATATGAAGATACATAGGTACATGGATGCTTACCTAAATGAAGGCTCATGTATTTGGACGTCTGTGTCGATGTTGGGCTGTAACTCAGCTGTTGAGCTTTGCAGCAGGGCAGTGGGAGGACAGAATCAGCACTTGAAGTGGACGATGAAGCCACTGACCATGGAAAGCATGAGCAGGTGTCATAACATGGCAGCAGGCCGTGGCACTTCTATTTGGCTGCCACTGACGTTTCTCAAACCACAAACAGAATTGGTTAACCTGGTCCTGAGTGCTGTACAGCACTGTGGGAGGTTCTGGAATTGCACAGTGACCAAGAGGGCTGCATTTAAGAAGCGATGCATTTTGGGGTGTTACCTGCTAATCAAATGCAAGGTATCCAATGGGTACCAAAGCCATGTACTTGTGTTTACTGAGCTATTCCATTAGTGTTCTGGTTGTAGTTACACATTTGCGGATTGTTGACATAATTACAGCTGTTTGGTTATTAAACAACTGAACTTTTCAGCAAAGAAGTAAATACAAGCTTGGTGGCATTGAATTCGTTTCCAATCCCCATGTTCTGACTTAGGCTCAAAATTGTCTTCTTCCACAAACATTTGCAGGCACGATGAAAGAAGGACACCAAATGGATGATTTTATTAAAGGACATTTCCATTAAAATTTTTGTATGATTGTATAAAGCTCAGTCTTGTGAAAGCAGCATTCTGTTCTCAGGCTAATCTTGGGCTATTAAGGAGAAGTATGAAAAACTTAAGGAAACCAGCTTCCTGTTACATTGGTTGTGCTTAAAAACACACTGCATCAGCCATCTCTGAGCAGGATGAGGCCCTGCCAGCCTTTATTTAAACAATTCATAACATCTTGTAAGAAAATTATCTACAGCAGAAGTAGAGTGACAGCACTTCTTAAATATTTTTATTACGGCTTCCTCCACTTGAAGGGTTTGAAAGCCTTATAGCATGAATGCTACTGTGTGTTAAATGTTAATGTGTTTTATGTTCTCATGTAGCGTAAAAGTCGTTGTGAGAGCAATAAATACTCTGGAAAAGATGTTGTAAAACAAACTTGCTGCTTCAAAGATTTTGTCTGATAATATTTTTGTAGCATAGCAAAAGAAAACCATTAAACTGATTGTAGAAGCACTGTATATAGAAAAGCCTGTCTTCAAATACATTATTTTAAGAGCCTGTTATGACAGTGCTGTTCTCATAGTCGTCTCAGATGTAGGGAGAAAGGAAAAGAAGCTGGGACTCGTGCAGAATCTTATTCATCTCTGCAACATGGAGACCTTTCCAATGGAGATGCACTGTCTGGTGCCATTTCCCTGTAGTGATGTCTTCTCTCAGATTGCCTCTGCTCCCTTGTATTCCATTACACCCTTCTGGTATGGAATTATTAACATTATTGTGTTATTATTGACCACCACATGCATAAAAACTTCAGGTTTCAAGGAATGATGGTATTTGAGTGGTTGTGTATTATGATCTAATTCTAGTTCATTTACTTGCCTCTTATGTTTGAGGATCTTTTCCATGAAGGTGGAAAACCAAGAAAATGAATGTCTGTCAGCTTGTAATGCAGGTTAGTCAGGTAAAATCTACTGCTGAGTTTCCTGGTGGCTGTCACAGCGAGCAGAAGGAACCAACCGGGTCCTGTAGTGTTCAGCTGCATAGCAAGTCTGTGTGCTTTGCCTGTCATTTGACCTTTGCAGATCTCTCAATCTAGATTCAAAAGATGCTTTTTAAATGTATGCTTTCACAGAGGCAAAACAGCGTTTGGGGCTCCATTGAAATTTGTAGCAAACGAGCAACGATGTGCGTAAAAACATTAACGTGGAAATGATCTGCGTCTGCTTCCTTGTATTCCTCTGTTTTTAAGAATGCTTTGTTGCACGGCTGCTGGCGTGAGATACACAGATGTAACAAAGGTAGATTTGTGTCTCTTTCAGAGGGTCCTCAGAGCTCAGTGTCAGCTTCAAATGAGATCCAGCAGAACCAACCACAGGCACTGCACTACGCACTGGCCAACGCCCAGCAGGTTCAGATCCACCAAATAGGAGAAGATGGACAAGTCCAAGTAGTATGTATTCAGCCTTTTCTAACTTGTTTAGACAATCCACGTTAATATAAACTTTGCTTCAACTGAAATTTAATTTTTCTTATGGTTCCTAATGACTCATTGTCATTTAGTAAGCGTGACTTTCAGAAAATAAACATTGAAGGCTTATGTAAAGAGTTATTGGCAAGAATATCCAATCCATGCAGGACTTGCTCGCAAAATCACTGCAGATAAATATGCATTCATTTCTGTATCTCCTATGAAGAAAGGTTGAGGGAACTGGGCTTATTTAGCTTGGAAAAGAGAAGGTTCTGGGGAGACCTGATTGCGGCCTTCCTGTACTTGAAGGGAGAGAATAAACAGGAGGGGGAACAGCTGTTTGTGAGGGTGGATGGTGATGGGACAAGGGGAATGGTTTTAAACTGAGACACGGGAGGTTTAGGTTGGGTATTAGGAGGAAGGTTTTCAGCCAGAGGGTGGTGAGGCACTGGCACAGGTTGCCCAAGGAGGCTGTGGATGCCCCATCCCTGCAGGCATTCAAGGCCAGGCTGGATGTGGCTCTGGGCAGCCTGGTTGGTGACCTGCACACAGCAGGGGGTTGGAGCTAGATGAGCACTGTGCTCCTTTGCAGCCCAGGCCATTCTGTGATTCTATCTAGAATTGAGAAGTCAAGTATCTTCCCGGCCCTTTGCTTGCATTTGTTCCCATAATACTAACAGCAGTCTTACAGCCTGTACCATTCACCCTAAAGTAACAGTTCTAACTATGACTTTCGTAACAAAAATGCATTTATGTGATTCACAGAATCATAGCTTCATTTATTTTCAAGTATGACTGCATTCTCAGGCATTTTTGAACATCTGTTGGCCGAACTGTTACATATGTATTCATTTAGATACATGTATATAAGCAGAAGTTATAAATATTGACATTTTTTGACCGCAAGACAGCTATCAAAGCTCAGACAATGATTTTTTTTTTTAAGACAAGATTTGTGTATTCTGACCAAACATACCTTAGTTCAGCTCCTGTGTGCCACGGTTTAACTGCAACAATCATTTTTTTCTTTAAATTATATGTAAGAAAGGAAGAAAACAGTGAAAAGATGGATGGTGCAGTGTTTCTCACACATGTGGTTTCTGATGTGCAACATTCAGAAGTAGTAAATTACATCTGCATGTCCACTGCGCTGTAGAAACCTGAGGATGCAATGCATGCAGTCCACCTGCCATTAGCTTTCAGAAACTTTGGGTTTTGCAGCTTTTATGCACTCTCATATAAGGCGTAAACCTTTTTCTATGGCTTTTTCACTGGCTGTGTTCATGATTTTGAGGTACCCAGAAGCCTTGAGTGTGGGCCTGTGGGCAGTGTACAAGTGCAGAGCAGGACTGAACGGCAGAGATGTGTACAGACCTGTGCGATGATGTAAACCCTCTGTCCATAGAAACCAGGCTGCAGGAATCTTAAGAGCTACTGAGCAGCATGGCAGCCCATAATACCCACTGGTCTGCCCGTTGCAAGGGTTTTGGTCAGTGCCACTGCAGAGAAGAGTTTGGGTAGGATAATGAGGTGCCTTTGGCCAATACTTCTGTCAATACTCAAGTGAGAGAGGTGGCAGACAGAGGAACTTTCATCTCGCTTTGGTCATAAGCTCACAAGATAACATGGTAAGGTTCTTTGTCTCTTGGTTTTTCCCTGTATGCTTTAAGGAACACACCTTGCTTGCTTTTTATGTCAGTTGATTGTTAAAGAGTACTTTAAAGTCTCGAAAGGCAAAGTAGGAGAATGACATGAAATACAGGGATGCAATGGACAAAATAGTTACGTTTGTGGATCTGAGTAATGAAAGTTTACCTCATTAAAAAACTATCTGGATCTGCCAATCATCTTTTAAGTAATTGTTGTGCAATCTGGGAGAAAAATCAGCTAATACCCACAATTGAAACGTGGTCATAATTTGCCTGGCATGTAGGGAGGGATATGAAGCAGATGAAGATGGTGTTGCTTTTTTAATTCTAAGGAATGAAGCGCGTGAGGCTGAGAGTCATTACTATCACAGTAGTCATTTATACTGTGTGGATGTAAAGCAAATCAGTGTTGAACTGAATGCTGGGGATTTCCTGAATGTAAGCTTTAAGAGTTAAGATTCAGAAAGGTTTTGGTGGAATTCACAAACAAACTACAGAGGCTGTCCTTGAAGGCCAGCTCTGTATCTGCAGAAGATGAGTGAGCAGTTTTGTTTTGGAATGCTATGAGATACAAAGGCAAATAAAGTCACCTTCTTCCCCCTTCCTCCCCCCGTCCCCAGGCAGAAAGGATTGCTTGTTTGAAAATGCTGTAAATGGATCTTTTAAATGTTCCTTGCTTTTCCCTGGGAGCCCTGAGAGCTCAGTGTTAAGGAGGGAAACTGATTCTAATCTCGACGTGGACTGGGCTGTGCTCTAATTTTATATACAGTCTCTATTGTCAGAGTGATACTTTCAGTATGTTTTTTCTCCCTATAAATAGATGGTTTCCTTCCAAAGGAAATGAAACTGTTTGAAATAGAGGGATCTGTGTTTCTTTGAAAATCACATGCAATTGTTCTTGTGTTATAAAATAAGAAGAGCCTTTGACAGAATTCCAAATGATTATCTTTAATCTCTGTCTCATGCAGGCATATTAAAATGAACACAAAGCCTTATAAACTCCCAAGTAGGTTATTTAGAATCCAATCTCCCTCCAGGTAAATCACGGGGGCAAAGACCTCTCTGGGCTGGTGAGGATGCACAAGGAATTCCTTCCAGCCTCTTAACCACGTTTCAATCAAATGATAGGCATGATGCCATTCTGCAGGGGTGGTGTGGCCAGCCACGCTGAGCATTAACCTTATTAAAGCCCCTAGGGCAGATTCTCAGCTAATACAAGCCAGTGTAGCTGCATTGGAATTGCTAACCTTATGCCAGTTTATAGCAGCTTGAGAGGTCGCTGTTAGCATGGCAGCGTGCCTCGCCGTAACTTGGCTAATGACAAAATGCATGTGATTTTAAAATAACCTTTTAGAGACAATCTGTGAGTAGTTTTGTCGTAGCTCTTTGAAGAACTGAGTTTCCAAGGCCTTTAAATGGGTTTCTTATTTTGAACTCATCGGTTTGGGAGAGCTAATGCCTCTCTACCAACTCCTGTTAGTCCCATGTATCAGTCACAATTGCAGGTTCTTCCTTTATAGAGAAATGTACTATATGAATGTGCTTTTTATTATTATTATTATTATTATGCCCATTTTCTTTTTCTCTGATGTGAAAAGGAATGACTGAAAGATGGCAAAATATGGGTACACCTTGAGTTAAAGCAATCTTAAACGTTTTCCATTGGAGAAGTCTTTTTCTTCCACCTACGACTGTGAATGTTTTAACTGCATTCAATCCAAACAAGTAGTTTCTTGCTCTAGTTTTGGTTTCCTTCTGATGCTTCCTGGTGTTTTCTTTTGTTGTGGATCCCGCAGGGCCATCTCCACATAGCCCAGGTTCCTCAAGGCGAGCAGGTCCAAATCACGCAGGACAGCGAGGTGAGCCAAAGCTTTGGGTACAACGTGGGGCCCTGATGTGGGAGCCTGTGTGAGATGTCCATGACTGTGCTAAATGGTCTTTGTTGGAGATGGAGCTGGGTACTCGGAGCATTATAGGGAACCTAGGCTGGGTGCTTGCATCCTCGTTGAGGAGAGGCAGCATTGTGTAGGTGTGCAAACTGGCTGTGTTGGGAATGCTGTGTCTTTAATTGTGTAAACTCTTCACCAGGAGTCTGGAGAGTAGTCAGACTTCATCTCGTGAAGATGCATTCCAGACTGAAGTGAATTTACCTTCCTCACGCATCGAGCAATCTGGCGCTGCGCTATTTGCACTTCATAATTCTTTCCATAAAAATGGAACGATAGAAGGGAAATGGAGAAATCCAGTACTGAGCCCTCCTGTTTGAGCTCTGTTTTCCACTCAGGCAAAAGGACCACTGCAGCTGCTCCGTGCAACTGAGTGGGGAAACTGTTGGTTATTTAAGCACGTTTAGAAACTCATAACTGCAGGGGCTGCTGTCTTATTTCTTCTGCTCTCAGACTTTGTTTACGTGAGGAAGCAATAGCAAAATAAAGTTAAGAGTAAATACTGACTGCAGTATTTACTGTATATGATTTCCTCATAGCCATATCTTTTTGTGGGTTAGTTGAATCCATTTCCAAAGCATCCAAATAAAAATTCTTTAAACCACTGTTGGTATAGAGGAATACTGATGACACAGGGAGGTATTGAAAGGTAGATATTATGATAAATACTATATAAATATTACAGTTAAAGGCAGTGTTCCTGATAAAGCTCTTTAGACCGAGGGAGCAGCAAGGAAGGATCAGAATGTGCTGCAGTGAGTTTGGGACAGTTCTGGAGTGTGCACCATTGGTGTAAAAGCTGCTGGAAAAGTAAAAAGCCATTCATTGTGTCCAGTTATAATCGATGCTGGGGTTTAAATGCCTGCATCCATGGGTTGGGAGCTGTTGGGTGTGAGAGAGTGAAGGGTTATGTTGCTCTGTGACAGATGCAGACATCTGGTTTTAAGTTTATTGCAACGTATGCAGCTTCAAAAAAGCAAAAAAAAGAAGAGAAGAGGAAGTGTTGCCAGTAAAAGAAAATGTAGAAAATATGCAAATCAAGGAACTAATTTGTTTTCCTGAAAGCAATGTCCTTCTTGGTGTTAGGGCAGCGGGTTTTCGCTTTGTCCTTGTGCATTTAACAGGGCATCCCTGAGCATATGGGTGAAAGCTTCCCTTTGTTACCATTCTTCTTTCACTTTTAGACTTTGTGGCTGCAGATCCCTTTGAAGCACTTGATGTTATTTGGTTTGTTGCAATGGCTGCAGTTCCTATAACAGAACCATGCTGGCCTTCAGCATCAAATATTGGTGAAGCAAAAACCTGTTAGCACAGACAGTGACTTTCTGGCAGCGTCCTGTGCTGATAAGTCTTGCAGAACTGATTCTAGTTCAGTAAGGCTTTGACTTACATTGGCACTTACATGTGAATATGGAAAAAGAACAATCCTAGGGAAACTTGCTGGTGCTGAAAGCCCTCCTTGCTTTTTTTATAACAGAAGTCTGTTGATCCTCTGTGGTTAAAGCACTGAGCATTGAAGCGTATCTGAATTGCCAAGATAGCCCTCAGAAATGTTTCCTCAATTAGTAGATATCCTTAATATTGAAGTGGTTTGATAATGAGATGAGAAACGGGCTTTTTTCATGAGTGAGCAGTTTTCTGGATTCACAGCTTGTTAATTGTCAATGCTTTTTGTCTTACAGGGAAACCTGCAGATACATCAAGTGCACGTTGGGCAGGATGGGCAGGTAGGAACCGAGCTGAGCTCTGAGCACCTTCCTGCTTTATGATTGGTATTGCAGTTGGAATGATTTCATGTTATGAGTGTTTTACAGAGCAAAACCTGTTCTGGGCTTTGTTTAAGCAAGCAACAGTGTGAAAACATAAATTTAAGTGTTTTGTCTGTGGGCTTGAAGCATGTGACCGAACTTATACCATTCCTCCTGCCATAGGCTTTATCCCTGTGTTTTCTACTTTCTTTGGCCTCTTCACTCCAATGTTTACTAACTGGATTGATTATTTGGTGTACAGTATGTTCTTTTCCATGTTATCAACTGTCACTGGGGCCAGATGTGGGCTGCAGGCTGTGCAAACTGACGAACGTTTATTGCTGAGTTTTAGGCAGCTATTTTTTCATTATATGGCTGTTTTGGGAGAAACAGATCTTTCACATCTGCTTTTGTTCTTTCTGATAAGATGGTTTTATTGGGTGCATGTGCATACATGAGGTAAGGAAAGAGTTTTTGCTATGAGTGATGAGTCAGTAAGTGTTTAAATGAGCAGAATGTCCACGTTAGTTGGCAGTGTTGTTAACGTATGATCTCAGGCACACTCTGCTCAATGCTGAATTCTATTACTGTGTTCACAACGATATTCCTGTATGGAGCTTTCTAGGTGGACCACTTGAGTTTAAAAAAAACAAAACAAAAAACTGTTGTGAGTCTTTGCTGTTCGTGTTCAATATTAATAAGCTGAGATATTTGGTTGGAGTTTCAGCTCTGCCCTGGGCTGCAGTGCTCACAAACCCACAGGCCACGAGCACTCGGAGCTTTTGACTGTATGCAGTAAAGAAGCAATAAGAAACATAGAGATTAAAAAAGCCCAAAGCTTTAAATATTTGTTACTGGGACTTCAATCAAAAATACTTTTTGAGAAGCAAGACTGGGCAAGGTGATATTTTGGGTACGTGTGATAACTTTTGTTTTAGAACATAGCAATATCTTTTCCTTCCTGGCAACGTATTGATATCAAAATTGCACCTTCTGAAAAGGTTAATGCTGGGTGGTTTGATGTCTCTTTGATAGCAGCCTGTATGAATTAACTTGAATTTTGTCAATTGTAGCTGAGTACCGTTATTGTTCCCCTGCAGTGCATTCTCAGTGTGCCACAGATGGCATCTTAAGTAGAGCCAAAGAATGTAGTCTAAATCGTCATTGCAAATTCGTGCTGTACGAAGGGATGTGCTTGAATGCTGAACATCTTCCTGACCCTGTCCTCCATGCCAGGCAGGGGCAGGCATGTCCTTCCATACAGCAGTAGCACTCAGCTCTGCCTCGTGCTAAGATGCTTATGGAGCAAAAAGACTTCCAAAGCACAAATGCTCATCTGGCCAGTTGTATTAGGACACACAGTGCTGGAAAATGGCATTCTGAAAGCACTTGCTGTGTGCTTATGTGTGTGTGTGTATACAGTATGTTAGTAGGTTGTCTGTGTAAAGACACCTGGGCTATCAAGCAGTGTAGATATTCATGGGGATAGTTTGGTTCTGATGGCTGTGTATGCATGAAACAAATCTAGCACCCAGGTCCCCCAAAAGCACTCACTGCTTAGCTGTGTTCCAGCAGAGCAAAAACAAGCAGCAAGCAACTGTTTATGGCATTTTATCTCCTTTCTTCACTCAACATCAAAACCTTCGGCAGCAGCTGAGGCCATGCGGGCTGCTTTTGCCCCGGGGTGGATGAGCAGCACTCACATGATTCCTGCAGCAGCTGAGCTGGCTCCTGCTCATCAGCTGAGCTGCGCTAAGTGACCAGTTCTGGAGCTATTAGCTCATAAAAACTGCGAAGGAAAATGAGTTAAACTCAACTCTGTTTGTGGTTTAAGAATGGAAGTTGAAACTAATGCATTTTCCTTGGCACTGGCAGTGGGGTAAGAGCACAAAAACCTGTCATACGATACGGCTCAGCAGTAATGTAAGTCAAAACAATCCAGTAGCTCGCATTGGCTGTGCATGACCTGCGATCAAAAGGACTTCTGTGGTTTTCCCACCTGTGCATTGCTATTTAGGAGAGTGCCTTTTTCGTCCTGGTTAAGAACTTGAACATTGCCTGCCAGGGGACTCTGAGCAGTTGGATAATAAGGGAAGTGAATAATGCATCACTTGGATGTCTTCATTCACATATCAATGTGCCCAGCTGACACATAGGTACTTACTAATAGCTTACTTACTAGGTCTCAGCTTGACTGCTTACTTTCCCTTTGAAAATGCTTCTTGTTCTCCTGTTTCCCACGTGTTATTGTAACCTTACATCTTAGTTTCAGCTGGGATGGAATTGTTTCCTTCAGGTGTGATGCTGTGTTTTGGTTCTAGGAGAAGAGCAGCATTGGTAACATGCTGGTGTTTGTAGCAGCTGCTGAGCAGTGCTGTGCAGAGCCAAGGCTGTTGTCAGCAAAGGGCCCAGGGAGCAGGGAGGGAACACAATGAGGACTGACTTGAACTGGCCAAAGGGAAGTTCTGGCATCAGTTGGGGGTGGTGAGAATTGCTTGTGCATCATATGTGTTCATATGGATTTGTATCATTGTCATTGTCCTTTTCTCTATCTTAGTAAATCATTTTATCTTAAACCACAGCATATTAGCAGGCTCCAAATATCCTCTCTGTCGAGATGAGGTTTGGTCCTGCCTCCTGATGTGCAGCCCCAGCTCCTAGTAAGCATTCTGCTTCTTGTTCAGGGCGAAGCATGGGATCATTCATCTGAACGACGGGGGAAAATGGCATAAATCTACCATGAAATTTTATCAGTAAAGCTTCCAAGGTGACGGATATGTTTTAAGGCTCATGATGCTGGCAGTAAACAGCAGCTTCTCTGTAGAATGCTGCAGTTGTTGATTTCTTTTCTTTTTCTTTCTTTATTTTTCCACCCACTTCTGAATTGTCTGTCCTGGTAGTTGCACTGAATTTAGATCTTGTTTTTCTGGCATCGTTGTTCATGGAACTAATGAAATCATTCCAAAAAGAACTCTCTCTACCTACACATGTGTTCTATTAGCTGAAGGTTTCATATTTCAATGCATGTTTAATAAAAATACCAAACTGCAAAAATAATTAGACTTCATATTAACTAACACTTGAAGCCTCGGAGCAGCGGGAGTTTCTGGGCATTTGGTACTTGTGAATTACTAGGAGATTTCTAATCTGTCTCTTTCCTCTGATTACCTGACTTCCTTTCTCCCTATCTCCATCATTCCGTTCCTTTGTAGAGCCGTGGCTTTTTGCACATCAGGAGGTGTTCAATGTGTGCCCTGCACACGATGTGCTGCCATGGTGCCAGGCTGCTTGCAAGCTTTGGATTGCAGAGAGGCAGAAGATGACAACGTGAGCAGTTTGACGTTCCTCGACGTCGTGTTTTAGGCGTTGCATTCAGTGCATCCTCACAGCCAGCCTTTCTCCAATGTAGAAATTAATTAAAGTGACACCAGGCAAATGATCTTTAACTAATAGCCCTAGTTTTTAAATTAAAAATTTAATACACTTCAGAATCTAAAATAGGATCGTATATATATTGCTGGAGAGCTGACAATTTGTTCTGCTCAATGAACAAATAATTAATAGGAATAGCAGCATTAGTTCACTTAATCTGAAGTAAGAGTATCTGTAGGTAAGCTGGAATAGTTAGTGCATTCCAGAACAAGCAGAGTGTGGTTAGCAGCAAAAAGTCAGCAACTGTAAATTGCTTTTGTAATGCCACCCTTCCTACTATGCATATGCAATAAACATTTAGAGTTGTTCCTGACAGGACAAGGGGGAATGGTTTTAAACTGAGGCAGGGGAGGTTTAGGTTGGATATGAGGAGGAAGTTTTTCACTCAGAGGTGGTGAGGCACTGGCACAGGTTGCCCAAGGAGGCTGTGGATGCCCCAGCCCTGCAGGCATTCAAGGCCAGGCTGGATGTGGCTCTGGGCAGCCTGGGCTGCTGGTTGGTGACCTGCACACAGCAGGGGGTTTGCAGTGATTATTGTGCTCCTTTGCAACCCAGACCATTCTATGATTCTGTGATTCTTGCAAAGCTGCCATCACGTGGGAGCAAATGGAGTGGATGCTGCAGAGTAGCAGCTTGCTGCTGGGCCTGCAAGGTCGGAACGGACACGTGTGTGAGGAACGGATCAGTGAGAGCTGATGCTTCATGTCCTCAGGAGGAGGATGGGTCTGCTGCCTCGTTCAGGTCTGGTTTCAATACACACAGCACTCCCTGTAACAAGCTCAAAGGAGATATGACCTCATCACCTGTGTTTGAAACATCTGTCCTATTGCTGTTCTCTGCTGCAGCCTGAATTGCAGGGCAAGCTGTTAAGCCTTACAGGAATAGAAAAGGGAGAGAAGTGTTCCAAATGTGGAGAATAAACCTTGCTAATCCTAGTAATTCCACGTAATACCTGGGGAGTCTCACTTGTGAGCAGATGAAACTCGGATGAGAATAGCTTGTTTGTGGAAGAAATTGCTTAGTAACGTATGGGACTGTTTTAAAGCAGCTCTTCTGAGGTCTCGTTTGTGTCTGTTTACCTCACTGATAATTACTGAGATATTCAGACTTTGCAAGGAGAGCAGGGCAGTTTTTTAACATCCAATTCAGTTCATAATTCCAGCAAGGTATTCAGTGATACAAACAAATGTACAGATGGACCAAGCCAGTGTCTGCTCACTTCTATGTGTGCTGCAGATGACATTTTGCTGGGAAGGAAACTTTAATATGTTTTCTGAATATGCATTTTAGTTGCCTTTCCTAAGCCTTTGGAAATAGGTACTGCAGTTTCTATCAATATTAGCAACTTCAATAATATATTATCTGAAACAGAGGGAAGAACTGTATTTCCCAGCTCCCAATTCTCACATAATGGATCTAATTAAAAAGATTTTAAAATACTATTTTTTTTATTTGAAATTGGAAGGCTGTAGTCAAGACCAAATGCAATGCACCCCGCTATTGCTATCCCTCATTTCCAAGCAGCAGAGGGCAGTAGCACTAAGATG